TAATGCAGCTTCTTTATCATTAAAATGAAGATAACAGAATCTACTATCACTGGGTAGCTGTAAGGACTACAAGATAACTTAATAAATCCTAGCTATTATTGTAGAAGGAAAGACTGGCCAAGGAGAAACAGATAAACAAAGAAAAATTCAGACAGAAAATACACCATCTGCAGAAGCAAAGATGAGAGCATTGTAGTAACAGAAGACCAACTGCAATAATAAATATTATCTTGAATGTACCTAGAGCCACTCCAAGGATTAAACAGCCACTGTTTACAAGCATCTTTTATAAAAACCACTTCATAGTAAGGAAAGGCAGGACTTGATATAAGTTACTGGAATCAGAGTCAGTAGGTTCCTACTAATTCAAGGAAGAAGGAAAGAAAAAAAACTGTGCTAGGCAGCAAAAGGATGTCTATAATGATATGGATGAGAGCCAAATAAGAGGAACTACCTTCAAAACTTAAAAGAACGTATTGATTTATTAGAATAAGATAACGGAGGAGAAGAGCTAGTGTTTCACACTACAGGACTGGTTATACCTTTACTAAAAGGAAGAATATGAAAAGCCTCTAAAGCTGAGGTGGAGTTTAGTAGGCCCTGGGCACAAACATCAGTTCTCATCCATTCGGAATAAAAAAAATACCCATTCTCACAAGGGGTGGTTCCTAGTCTTGTCTTAGTAACCTAGATTAATTGATATTAACATTCATTTCTCAAGAGATTGAGTTCAGTCAAAATCTACATAAAGACAGTGAAAGAAATGATTAAAAAAAAAACCTTTAGACTGTTCTGGGAGTATGCATAAATTGAGAAGTAAGCTCAATATAATTTCCAGACTCCCAATAATTTATATGATTTCAAAAATTAGGAGTAACAGCAAGGTATTAAAATGGACAGGGAAATAAAATTCCTACAGGATAGAACAAAAGATAAAGAGAAAAATGGTTTTACTGGTCTGAGTGTTGACTTTTTTATACTTGGTACTAAATGCTTTTTATTCATCATTTACCTTATCTCTCTAAAATTAAACTCCCTATTTTGAAGCAATCTTAAGACGCAGTTGGTAAATATAAAGGCCATGTCAGTTGGCTTTTCATATTTCTCTGAAATATTTCCTACTGCAGTGCTTCACAAAGTATGGTCTATATCTGAATGCTGATTTTTTTATTACTTATCTAAACTTTTTATCAGAAACAAAAATAATAATAATTTGCCAAGTAGCCCGGTGCTAATAAAATCTATCACTTGTCACTGTTCCCTAAAAATCCAGAAGGCTGAAACATTTGGAAGCAGAAGTGGAAGCTAGGGAAAAGGGGGGCAAGGACTTCAAAATCTGGAAAGAAAATTATTGCTGACAATGAAATGTAGGCAGCAAAAAGGCACTTTAGAAAGACTCAGAAAATATACCTTTCATTTACACTTCTAAGGCAGATGTCTGTTTCAGCAGGGATCAATGGATAGGAAAATGAATCAGATGACAACACAACATGCAAGAATAACAAAGGGAGGGAGGCCTTTCTTCTGAGGCCAAAAGAGACCTTGCTAGTGAAATCACAGATATCATCTGTGATTTAGGCACAAAAGCCCTTCAAAATTAGTGATAAGACCATGGCAGACCTAGCTGAGATACCAGCTAAGTTTCAAGACAGAAAAGTTTCAAGACAGGTTTGGGGAAAACTACTTAAGTATTAAGACTGAAATAATTATTAATACCAGAAAATAAAATTATACGAAGAAATGTAATCATTATACAGTGTATAGGTCATTGTTACAGTCATAAATAATAACTAACCCACTTAGTTAAGACATAACTACGTAAGGCAAGATATAGGTTAGAGCAAAACTGACATTGTTCTCATAAACTGAGATAAAAATACAAACATCTTTGGAATCAATGTAATGGTCTGACAGGAACAGAATTCAGGAAGGAGTACTGCTTTTTCATAATAAAGCCTTTACAACTTTACTGTTTGCCCTTTAAACTACGCATACATACTTATTTTACAGATAAAAATGAATAAGGTCATCATGGCCTGCTTTTTTTTTTCTTTTTCTTTTTTTTTTTGTATTTTAGGTTAGGGTCCACAGGGTGTTCAGGGTCTCACTACTAGATCAGACTCGTAGCGATCCGCCTGTTTATAGCCTCCCAATACTTTGTTTTTAATGAGCAACAGTCACACCTTGTTTGATAAACCTCATTCATTATGAAGTAAGCAGCTCTGAGTTGTTTTTAGGAAATATATTTATTTTGAAACTTCAAATGACATTAGGAAAAGTGTGATTTTAGTTTACTGAATGATGCACGGGCTAAAAAGTTCTGAAACATTTTACTACATCACAGAAACTGTTACAGGCATTAATGGATCAAAAATCTTATTAACAGCATCAGGTCCTGACTCCTTCTACCAGCCCTTCAAAGCTGCAAATTTGCAAAGAACAAAACTTCACAACGTAACCAAAACCAAAGAAGGGCATGTCATGGCACTAACACAGCACGCCCATGAAGGTCTCCAACAGCACCATTAGCAACACGCTCCCAGCCTCACTTCACGTAGGTAGGGCAGCCTTTTTACTTCCTGTGTGATCTTCTTCATTATTTTCATTATTCACGCCTCTGTTACTAAAGCTTTTTCTTCATACAAAACCAAACTTGGCCAGCCTGCCTACGTACAGCTCAGGTAATAACCTGACCATTTCTTTGAACAGATTCCATATATACACATGTGATTTATGTTGTCAATGATTAATACAATAACCGAACAAAGGACATGGACAGCATGTTACTAAATTTGAGCATGAAGAACTTCTAACCTGAACTCAATGACCCCGATTTAAAGTTAACCCTAAAGCTTAACCCTAAGCACGAATAGCAATAGCAACCAGCAATGTTATTTCAGCAAGACGCTTGAGCACAGCAAAATTCCATGTTTAGTAATGCAGGACGCACAGACACAATGTTATCTTCATAAAATCAGGATTACAATGAACTGTCTCTATCCAATAAACCACTTTCACTTGAGTTTTTAGGTTGAATGATTCTTTTAGGTAGTACAGTTACTGTTTTCCTACTGATTCGTAAATCACTAGAATTTCAATGAAATTTCTTAGTTTTTATTAACTGAATAATTTTTTAAATCAGAAAACTTTTTTTTTGGCAGAACCAGGGATTGAATTCAAGCCCTTATGCTTGCCAGGCAAGCGCTTATTCTATTGAGCCATCTCCCTGGCCCCTCAGAAAACTTTTAATATCAAAATACTTCCCACAAATTAGTGCATTTTCCAAGTCTTCTACTTAACCTTGTTGCCTTAAAATATAGTAAGATTATTTGAAACTTGAATATATCATTGTTTGCAAAATTTAAGATTAAAGCCTGCAAGAAACAGATGTTTAACCTTTCCCATGCTTCATGCCTATCTTTTTTTTTCTTTTTTAATTTTTTTTTCATGCATATCTTGTATACATTTTCTTCATAGTTAGTAAAAGGAATCCCTTAGAGTTCAAATAGCAGGAGAGAAGGAGGGCCTTAGGCCATCAATACACATGTGAAATGAATTAACTCCAATTATATTTTAGGATTCTATCTTCTCCACTAAAGTGAAAAGGCTGGAAGAGCTTTTTAACTTTTCTTTTAATTTGGTCTGCCAGTTTACAAAAAGGGAGGCACACAATGAGAGAGAGACAGAGACAGAGAAAAGGATGCAGGTAGCAGACCTCCTTAAAGCACAAACTCAATCTGAAAATGAGGAAGAAATCGCTATCCCCAGTGATGGATCCAGAAAACAAACTCCATGTGTAAGAAGGATACAAGGACTATATCTAAATAATGTGCTCCGCATTGAGAAAATTTAGGAGAATCACTTATCAGACTGCTGCAAGTAGTACTGTTATGGCTTAGGTCACCATAAATTAAAAGTTCAGGGGGCCTGGCCCTAGCTCAGTTCTTTAAGTGGCTGCTTCCACAAAGCTGTCAGCCTCAGGTTGCTGTAGTTCGATCCCCACAACTCCAGCCAACCAAACCTGCCCTGAAGGCATTCGGAGGCAAAAAAAAAAAAAATCCTTATCCCATAAATTAAAAGTTCTTTTAATTTTCTTATGTTACACAAAACTCAATAAAGGCAGCATATTTCCATTATTAACCACTACATTGTTTTATTTCTTTAAACATATATAAATCAAAATTTATATATGATCCAGACCTTCTGATTTCATACATAACTGAATGGAATTATCACAAACTCATAGTAATAAGCATTCTTCCATATAAATGAGTTTTTGGTTTTATAAGATACAATTAAGTCACCTCTATTAAATACATACATTTTCATGTATGTGGAAAAAGAAGTTTAATTTATTTCAAGAATAAGTTCCATAGCAAACAATTACATTTATTCAATAAGGAATATCAAAATAATTACAGTTAGTAAATAACTTCAACCATATACATCATAACTAATCAAGTACATATCCCAAAATCTCCACAAATGGGATATTTATAGAACATCTTCCTAAAGCATGTCTTGGAAAACCAACCAAAACAACTAATAAATTAACTAAAGAACATGTGTATACACATCCATATTTGACCTGTATGCAAAAACTGAAGGACATACAGAGGAAGTCAAAGTTTCAACACTTTCTGAAAAACAATGTTAGTACTTCAGTCAAAACACTTACCTGCCAAGTAAGGGCAGCCTGAGCTGTCTGCAGTGCTGAAGTAAGACTCAATGTTAAATACGAAAAAAATGGGAAAGCATCGACCCCTCTGGGCACAGACCGCTACCTTACAGCGGGGGCAAGGGTCAGCGGCCTGCTGAAGTCTGTGCATGTCACCTTCTTTCCCCTTATAAAACTAAGATGCAAGGGAATGACCATACACAAGACAATTCAGCTAAGCTGGGGTTCCTGAGTGTAATGCTTTAACAGGTAAAAAGAAGAAATTTAAATCCTGTCCAGGGGGCCAGGGGAGATAGCCTAGTAGAAGAAGCACTTCCCTGTCAAGTGCAAGGGCCTGAGTTCAATCCCTGGTTCTATCAAAAAAATAAAAATAAAAATAAAGTAAATAAATAAATCCTGTTCAGGACACTCCTGCCCTCTTTAGACATGTGCATGACTTTCCATAACAGACAAGACACACACACACATCTTTGAAATCAATGCCACACTTGATCAAAAACCACAATTGACTAACTCAATACATGAAATACTAAACAAAGACAGTCCTTTCCGCCTTTACCCAGGGCACATGGTCATGAAGGCATGTTTTATTTAGATTTAGTCTTTCTCCATCTTTCTTTGACTACTCGAATCTGAAAGGCTGTCAAAGGCTGTCAAGTGATCATATTCACGTACCTTATAATCTCTTCCAATACACAATGGGCACAGATGTACAGCATTTGCCAATACAGCATCGACAGCATCCACATTTAAGCAGTAAGCACATTTCACAGGAAAGCTCTATGCATCATGTGGACTGTCCCAATAAGAAGCGAACATTAAAAGGCAAGTTGTTATAGTGTTCATATAATCAATATATCTAATAATTATATCCATCATATATGTCATCCATAGGAAAGAAGCAAAGGTTAAAGACTGTTCTTTAAAAAAGTTTTATGTGCCAACCTCAAAACGCCATGGTGTCAGTGGTGTTACTACTATTCCTATATTTATGATTAATTACTAGCAGAACAACGCCCAGAAGGAAAGAGATAGATCCAACAGTGATGTAAGCAATTCCCAAAAATGGATTTTTTCCTCCCATCCATGAAATAGTGCTCAAGATCATCCGTTTTCGTCCATCAAAAGAATGTACAGGGTAATCTGAGGAGAGTATAGGAAAATTTTTCCATTTCTCGTTACTCAATAATTTTAAATACAAATATTAAAGTTCCTATCTAATTCATATGTATAATTCTATGACACAGGTACTTTACTCATACTCTGAATCACAAAAAAATATATTATTTTGAAAGGTTATATATTTCACCAAACAATAAAAGTTACATAAGAACTTCTCAGGTGGTTTTGTTCTCATTTAATAGGAGGGGCAAAATGCTTCAAAAGTATAACGTAGTATGAAAAATATTCCAGATAAACAGCAATGAAGGCTACAAGGGAAGGGAAGACTGACAGAGCAGGACAAAATGGATTAAGGCAGGGGAAGTAGCTGCAAGCTCAAAAAGCGTGTGGAATAAGAATGTGGTAAGGAGACTGAGAGGGCTCTGAACACAAAGCCAAAAAGCATCAAGGACACTAAAGGTTTCATGCTGATTTGGAGTACTGATAAAATACATGATACAACACAATGCTGAAGGCTAGGATACAGAACTGCAAGGTGGCTATGTGGGAGACTTAAGATGGGGGACACCAGTTCATTGGATGTACTTTCTACACAGACCTGTTCTGGGATCCTGACAAGCAGCGACAGAGAACGGAATCCATTTCCGACTGAGAAAGTGTACAACTTGCCCAAAGCAGCTCTGAATCAAGTGCTGGGCCCTGTCTGTTTCTATTGTTTCTGTACTCTAAACTCTCGCCCTAGAGGGAGCCCTGACTTCAGATGGCACGCTTGACTCACCCAGGTCTGAAGTCAGGCCCCAACCAAGGTGAATGACTGAGCATTCACACAACACAGCACTCCAGGGACCCAACCCAGCGTCCAGGCACCCACATCAGGCTCTCTGTCTCAACCCTAGTAAGACAGGCTTCTGCTGTGATTCCGTGACCACTTCCGATCTTACACCCCATTTTACCATCAGCTCTGGGTACTCACAGGCCCAAATACAATAAATATCAGTAGTAAATGTAAACCCACTTTGTTAATGTACAATACAGCTGATAAATGTTTTGATACTATGAATAGATCAATTAAGCATGAACGATTATGCTAACTTAAAATAATATATCTGCTGTTTCTTCATTGGTGGTTTTTGCTTTGTTACTACGTAGTCTCGGCTGGGTTCTCTTTGTTTATTTTTTATGAGACAGTCTCACTTTGTAGTTCAGGTTGGTCTTCAACTCACTACATAACTCAGGCTCGACCTGAACTCAGTGATGGCCCTATCTCAGCCTCCAGAGTCATGGGTTATAGGTGTGTGCTACCAGCCTAGCCAGGAGGGTTCAATATAACCTGTTTAATACTTAGGTACACTTACTGCCTTTTGTGTTAAGCTCATTTATAGTCTCCCTTATAAAAACATCAAGCACCTACCTTTTAAGTAATTTACCAAGTGATATGCTTGAAATTCTACTTCAAATCAGACATAAATGTGAGAGCTTTCTAGAAGATATTTTCCCTACACATGCACATACTCAGAAAAATGCAGGGATCAAAACTAACATACAGGGCCAGGGAAGATAGCTCGGTGATCTAAGCAGCTGCCTGGTAAGCACAACGACACGGGTTTGATCGATGCTGCCCCATGCCGCGCTGGCCCCATGCCAAGCCAGCCACAGAAAACAGGTGGTGGTATACACCTGTAATCCCAGCGCTGGGGAGGCTGAGACAGGAAGCTCACTATGAGCTGCGCAGCAAGACCCTGTACCAAATAAGTGATAAATATTAAAAAAAAAAACAAACAAAAAAACCCTCACATACAAAGTGACACGCCCCGGCACTGAAGAAGGCTGCAAACTAAAAAGGATACTATATGTGATGTTCAAATAGTACTGCCCAGCGGGCAACGTCGGACGCAAATCATGTAAGCAATCCCCAGAAATGGATTTTTTCCTCCCATCCATGAAATAGTGCTCAAGATCATCCGTTTCCGTCAGTCAAAGGAATGCACAGGGTAATTGTATGTGATGTTCAAATAGTACTGCCCAGCGGGCAACGTCGGACGCAAATCACTCGTCTGTTCTATGAGACGATACAGCTTCCGGAAAGTAGGTAATGCCGCAGTGCGCATCCAAACGATGAAGTCCTCATTGATGAAGCCATTGTTGTCCTCATCCGAATCCAGCATGTACACTGGTGTAAGCCAGTTTACTGGCTTTGTTGTTCCTTAAAGATGAGTAGGGGAAGGACAAAAAAAAAAAAAAATCAATTCCATTGAGTTTCAATGAAAAGTCACACTCTACTAACACAAAGACGGGCAATACGCAATCTGAAACTTTTATTTTGAAGGTATAAATACATTCATGTTCTATACATATATTCAAGGAAGTTTTAAAATGTAAGGAAAAAAATTTCTTGCACAACAAAATTACAAACTCTTGGTTGACAATGAAGAGACTACAAAAACAAGAATACTGAATATACACATTATATAATGTTAAAAAGGAAGACAAGCCTGGTGTGGCACCCACAACTGTAATCACAGCACTTAAGAATGCTGAGTGAAGAGGACTGTGATTTCGAGCCCAGCCTGGGCAATTCAGTGATTTATTATGACCTTATCTCAACATTAAAAGAAAAAAAAAAATTTAAAGGGTAGAGTTCTGTACTGAGTGTACACACAAATTCTGGGCTAAATCCTTAGCAATCCATACAAACACACACACAAAATTACACACTGATATGAAGGCAACACAGAAACAAAAATAAACTGGGACTATAAATAATAAGGTCTTGCTAAAAGCAAACTTGGCTGAAGATGTATTCATGATTGAAATACGCGTTTCCTTTAGAATTTTAGTACGTTAGAACTTTTTACGAAGATGGAGGAGAGGATGAGGAGAGAAAAACAACATTCACCTAAATTGGTATGAGGCTGAGGTTAAAGGAAAAACACTTAAAACAAATTTCAAAACAAATTGTTCGGGCTGGTGAGATGGCTCAGTGGTCTAAAGCACCTACTTAGAACAAGTTCAGCCAAGCACAGGGACCACGGTTCAATCCCCCAGCACCACATGCCAGCCAGCCCGCCCCCTGGTGGGCTGAGCTGGCCACACACACACACACACACACACACACACATAAATAAATAAAATTGAAAAAAAAAAACAAATTTTTTTGGAAAAAAAAAAAAAACACAAATTTTTTTGAGATTTTAAAGAGAAAAATCAGAAGTACTTCCTATATCACTGAAGCATCTGCTTTATTTATTTAATTAATTTATTTATTTGGTAAGAGATATGACTAAATTTCACCTTTGAATCGTTCTTCTAGGCTTCCTCCTCCAGGAGGGTTTCTGAATTTCACGTGTTTATCTGTCCACCAGGCAATGCCTTTCTTTTTCAAAGTAATAGGTGTAGGTGTGGGATCAGACTCATTGGAGACCAGAAACAACTCTAAGGTATCTAGCAAGAAAAGGAAAATGTTAGTCAACATTTGCTAAAAATCCATAGCATTTGCTTTATTCTAAGAAAAATGAGGATGTGGTATTTGCTCCTAAAAGTGGAAAGATTTACATTTTTTCTTTATTCAGATGTAAATTAGCCATAGCAACTTTTGTTATAACCTGACCAAAGCGCCACCATCCTGTTCTGTATGCACTCTTAGTGAACCTTGTCAGCTGCTGTAAAACGTGACTTCCTGCTTCCCAAGCCCCTCAACCCACCCTTGAGTTCCAATATGTGCTTTGTCTCACAGAACACCTGTTTCCTGAAGCCCCCATCCCACCCTTGAGTTCTAATGTGACTTCTGTTTCCCAAGCCTTCCCCAGACCTATAACCATATTTAGTCTCAACACATGCCATGACTTTTTGAACTTCCCAAGTGGTTCCCACCAGCCTGCTTTGTGGTTTTAAGCTTTATAAACCCCACGCTCCCCCACTTCAGGGCGCGCTTAAGACACTTTGTGCCAGGTGTTGCCGCTGGGTTCCAGCTTAAATTAAGCGCTTTTTTAACTTTTGAGCCTGCCTCATTTTTTAGTTACAACACTTTTAATTATAGACACATTTCTCTTCCTTTAATGCAGACCTAACCTACTTTCCTATACAGCTAGCTAACATGAAAGGCCAAGTATTTCTTTTTTTCTTTCTGTTTTAGGGCAGGGTCTACAGGGTGTTCAGGGTCTCACTACTAGATCAGACTGATAGTAATTCTCCTGTTTACAGCCTCCCAAGTGCTGGGATTACAGGTGTGCCACCACGCCCAGCCTCAATTACCATCTCAGTGTGCCCTGGGCAGGGCTGGCATGACAGGCCCAGGGATTGAACCACCGATCCCTGTGCCTGCTTGCAGGTGCTTTAATCTGCTGAGATATTTGGCCAGTCCTCAAGTATTTTAATATTAACCCAAATAAACTTACAAGGCCTTATGGATTGTGTGTGGATGTTGCCCAAAGTCTCAGGTGGTCGGCTGAATCTACAGAATTTGTGACTGCTTCATTGTTTAGTGCTGGGATTGGGGGTGTGAGTGCTATATCGGCCTAGTCTGCACACAATACAAGGGAGAGAAAGAGGTTGGCTCTTCCCCTTTTGCTCTTGTTTTTGCTGTCTTCTCCCACCATGAAGTATATTGGTTGCCCCTGTGTCATGGCACCCTGCCATGGAACCAGCTTATTACTGACTGAAACCTCCACAAACTGTGAGCTAAATTTCCTCCTTACTTTTTGGGCATCAGGCATTTTGTCTCAGCAAAGAGAGAAGAAACTAACACATAAGGTAAACCTGCTTCTCTTTTCTTCTTCTCAATGACAGATTTCTAACACCTCCTGGCTTATGCTTTTCTGTCTGTAATCAAAGACCACATGGCTACTGAGCATTGAAATGTGGTTAGTACAAAAAAAACATGTTCTCTAGTGTGTAATACACATTTGATATCAGGGACTGAGTATAAAAATATATGCTAATCTCAAGTTTTATATACTGTAATGAAATATTATGTCTACTGAGTTAAGTAAAAGTATTAAAATTAACTTCTAAAGTTTCTTTAATGTCACTAGTATAAAACTGAGTATTACCTACATGGCTTACATTGATGGGCCACATTATATTTCTGTTTGATTCTAAATGATTAACTACATGATTAAGTGATTAATGGCATCAGTAATCAAAGTCAATAAGAATGGCAGTCTGGCTTTTATTTCATTGTATATGGAAGGGGGAGTTAGTAAAATATCTTCACTTCTTCTCAGAGATAGAAATCTATTCTTAAATTTAAGAATGCTCTACTTATATCTGGTAATTTGAATAACTAATTTGAAAACAACAATATGTAACATACCAGCCACTGCTGAATTCCTATTTTATTTAGTAAATTTCTGTACAGTTTCTATGGTTTTTTTCTATTTTCTATTCTCTTTTTAAAAATTCTATAGAAAAAAATGTAACAATAATCAAAAGGAAGTCACAAAGCATTACAAACCCCACTTGATACTTAATCAATTATTTATTATAAAGCTGAATTTCTTGATTTCATTCATGACTGCTAGACTATCAAATCTGCAGGTAAACTGTACAAACCCTCTGAATTATACAGGTCTATAGCAGCATCTACGCTTGTATTTGTACCATACCATTAAACATGCTGTTGGCAATAGCTCCACAGGGAGCCACTGGCAGGTCTTCATTTCTTCGATAAGGCTCACACTCCTTACTGGGATTCTAGTTTTTCAAAGGAAAAGAAGAAAAGATCTTACCTAAGCCTCTGCAAGAACAATGAGCTATCTCAAATTACTGATTAAAAATCCAACCCCTACCTTTTTTTCACTCGTGATACATGCAAAATCAGTGTGCAATGAAAATACATTATAAATACTACATATAAATACCTAAAATGTCTTCCGTAATACAACTGTGTTATCTTTCCGGGGCAACTTCCACTTGCATATCCTGTTATATATGCATATATCAAATTAATCTTTTTTATTTGGATATCAATGTAGCACAAAGAATTTTCTGCCTGATAAAAGTTGAAATACTTTACTTTCAATCTAGCTGTAACATAATACTGGGAATCAAACTGGAAGAGACTAAAGGTTCTCATTTCTTACACCACCCCATGGATTAAACTGGGCCTCTCATATAAAAAGAACACGAGCAACTACATCATTTCAAATTTTGTTAATCTCATGTCTAACAAAGAAGGGTTCTAACACAGGTTCTTACCATACAACAGCAATGTAACAAATCAAGCACCACTTGCAGCTCCTCCAATATACATACTCTATACTCCCATGAGAAAATTCAGAGAGGTCTAGGAACCTGGTACCTCTCACAGTAGACACGAACCCTTAAAATTAAGATTCTATGGAGTAAACCCCACAGGGGTTACAAAATATTGCAGATCTAACTTGAACCCTGTGCACCACACTTCTTAAATACTAGTCATCAGAAATTAGCAATAAAAACAGTCAAGATAACCCAATTAAGGCATCTGCAAGGTTTCCAGGCCCGTTCTGACTACAATATAGTTCTACACTGCATTCTGAGAGATACCAGATCTAAGAGACCCAAAATTGCTCTGGAATTTTTAATGTCTGTTGCATTGGGAGGAACAACACAAACTGCTACCTGGGAAAGTTGAACAATCAAGCAAGTACTCCTAGTCCACACATTCCTAAATAAGGCTGGCAATCAAAAGGGGGGCTTATTAAAAATAGACATTCTCGACTACTCCTGCAGACACTGACACATTAAGTATTGGGCAGCTCTGGAATCTGTATTTTTCAAATAGCTGCACAGAATTTATCAGTAACCTACCTCTTGGATTTCACTATTCAGGCTTTCCACAAGTGGAAAAAAGAAAAAAAAAAAGATGAGTATCCTATTCAATATTAAAACACAATTCCAGGGCTGGTGAGATGGCTCAGTGGTCTAAAGCACCTACTTAGAACAAGTTTAGCAAAACACAGGGACCACGGTTCAATCCCCCAGCACCACATGCCAGCCAGGCCCGCCCCCTGGTGGGCTGAGCTGGCCACACACACACACACACACACACACACATAAATAAATAAAAATTAAAAAAATAAAATAAATAAAATAAAAAAAACACAATTCCAGAAATTAAAAGCAGCTTATTTGCATATTTCTACCTAGCATGACAATAATGTACAAACCCAAAGAGAATTTATTTACACATCCACAATGCTGCACTCATCGAAATAACAATTAAAAACAGGTTAGTTTTTAAAAACTAGAAAAAAAGTCCAAGTCCCAATGATGACAAGAAGCAAACACGTGCTAACATGCCCTCTGGCTGTAAGAAGTAACTAACCTCCAAGAAAAAAATTCTGAACTAAAAGCCCTCACTATAGAAACTAGAATGACAAGTACAGCTTTACTTTCATCCTAACATTATTAAATACTTTTAACATTTCTAACTCAATAGGTACCACATGCTATTTCACAGACATCAATTTTCATATTTCATCATTTTTACTTACAAGCAAAGCACTAGAATCTCCATTTAGCTGACTATCATCTCGAGATTTCACATAACGACGATGATTTTGATAAAAATTAGACAGGCCATAATACATAAACACATTGCCCTAGAAGAAAAAGGAAAGGAACTTTTTTCAAATAAAAACTATTATTATTAACTTGTTTCATGTGTACATAAAGGCTGAGTGATATGGACTTTACCAGTTCATAAATGGTGATAACAGATTTTAAAAGTATGTTACAAAAGCCCAAAAGATAAACTTTCAAACTTTAAATGCTTCTAATATTACATTAAAAATAACTCTGAAGCAATCTATCAGCCTATTTGGAGTTACCTGTACTCCAATAAAATTTTCTCTGAATCAAACTAGTGCTTACCCCATTGGTACCCACTTTTTAGAGGGATAATAGTCAAACTATCATTTGTTTCCAAGTAAATTCTGACTAAGAATATAAAATTTATCATATCATATCCTATTAGCAATTAATAAACTGGTGATTAGTAAAATATATTAGATAATAAGTCACTTTATCATACTCAAGGAAAGATCTTGAACCTATGTAGAGGAGCCAACTTCAAAATAAACTGTGAAAAAAGGGCAACCTACATACACAATAGTAACTTAGGAACTGTTCAAACACTATTCTTGGGGCCGGGGAGATAACTCAGTAGATAAGCACTTCTATGGCAAGCACAAGGGCCTGAGTTCAATCCCTGCTTCCACAAAAAAAAAAAAAAGTTGCAAAAGTACTAACTTACTTTCTCATTTCTGGTTGCTGCCACTATTTTTCAACTTACCTTCAATTAAAAGGAATTAAGTTACGTTTTGATTTCTTTGATTTCCTAGTTTCACATATAGTATGATTAAAACTTAATTTTCAGCTAGGTCTGGTTGCGCCTATGTGTAATCCAAGCACTCTGGGAGGCTGGATTCCACTCTGGAAGAAGATCACAGTTCAAGCCTACCTGAACAACTAAGTGATTTAATGAGATCCTATCTCAAAATTTTAAAAAAAGGACAGGGGATGTAAAGGCCCTAGGCTCAACACTATCTCCCCCTTCCCACTGGTAGGTTGATTTTTTTGCTTTTTTTTTTTTGCCTTTTTTCCCCTTTTTTAGCCTATGTATCTCAGACTAGCCTTGAGCTCACTTTGTATCCCAGGCTGGTATTAAACTTGAAAAGATCCTCCTGTCCCAGTCTCCCAAGTGCTAGGAAATGGACTGGGGATTTGGCTCAGCAGTAGAATACTTGCCTAGCAACCTGGAAGACCTGGGTTCAGTCCTAGGCACCAAAAACAAAAAATAAACCTTCCCTAAAAAAAAAAACAGTTCAACCAAAAAATACAGTAAAAAAAACCCAAGTGCTGGGATTATAGGCATGTGACACCATTCCCAGAGATAGGTTGATTTTGAAATGTCAAATTGTGTAAACTTTTCTATTCTAAATAAAGTAATTGTTTACATGGAAATCATTTTTTTAACAAGGGATATAGAAGATAGAAATTTTGGGGAAAAAAATATTGTTTCCATAAAGTATCAGTACAGGGTCAAATACGGTGGTGCATAGTTATAAGCTCAAGTGTTCCAGAGGCTGAGGCAGGAGGAGTGTTGAGTTAAAGGCCAACTGGATTACCTAAGTGAGATCCTATCTCAAAAAAAACCCCCAAAAAACAAAGGGGCTAGGGGTTTGTCCTGAGGATGTAGCTCAGTGGTAAAACACTTGCCTTGTATGTGCAAGGCCATGGGTTCAATTCCCAGTGGGGAAACCCACTAACTGAAAATAAGAAAAGAATCATTCAGAGGGTTGGCCAAATACCTCAGTGGATTTAAGTGCCTGCAAGCAGACGCAGGGGCTGGGAGTTCAATCCCTGGGCCTGCAGTGCTAGTCCTGCCCCCTGGGATATGCTGAAACCGCAACTGAGACTGAGCGTGGTAGCGCATGCCTGTAATCCCAGCTCTGGGAGGCTGTAAAACAAGTGGATCACTAAGATTGTGATCTACTAGTGAGACCATGAACACCCTGTAGACCCTTCCCTAAAAATACAAAAAAAAAAAAAAAATCATTCAGGAAGCACTGAGACAACTTACTTCAGGATCACTAAAATGCCTCAAATGTTTCAGTCTAATTCAAACTTTGTGAAAAATAACCTACAAAAGAATGAGTCTAAGGTTACTGTATCTTCAAAGAAAAGTTCTGAAGTGTTTTTGAATGAGAGAGGAGACTAACAGGAAGCTGCTAAATCATTTTTGTCTCGTCCTTCAAGTCTGTTTTGACAATGCAATCTCTTCACAGTGTGCCTGTCATGTTGAAAACTAGACTTCTCAAGAAGCCCTGAATGCCTATGTTATTCTTCAAAACGAAGCTCTTGCCTGAGTTAGTTTTCCTGGTTTCCCAAAGGCAGCACCATCCTACTCTCTATCTTGACCCAAGAGCAACTACAATACCAGATGGCAAGCATCTTTGAAGGGCTGCTAAGTTATAAGCTTTAAAACATTCAAAATGCAGAAAAATCTAAAATGTTGGCAATTTTTTCCTTAAAGAAAATATATATTTTAGTACAGGATCTACAGGGTCTCATTACACAGATCAGACTCATAGTAATCCTCCTGCTTTCAGCCTCCCAAGCACTGGGATTACAGGTGTGCTTAGAAGAGTAATTTTTTAACCTCAATCTGGAGGTACAAACTGGCGTTTCTATGCCAATCCTGAATCTGTATATCCTTCAGCCTTGACTCAGCTAGTAAAAATGGGAGATCATGGTCAATGCAACACACAGAAAGTTGAACCAATGATGTATTTTGACATCAAAATACAAAAAAATGAAATTTTAGTGTTCTCATTTTTGTAATCCTTCATCTCTCACAAAAGTTTAAATAACAGAAATATTAGCATTTAATTTCTTCTTTTTTTTTCATCATCTTGAAGCAGGGTCTCACTATGTTGTTCAGGCTGGCTGGCCTTGAGCTCACTTTGTAGCCCAGGCTGGTCTCAAATTCACATTGATCCTCCTGCCTCAGCCTCCCAAGCACTGGGATTATACGCGCATGCTACACTTGGCTTTAGTATGTATTTTCTAAAGTAAAAACTACTTTAGGGGCCAGTGACATAGCTCAGTGGACTAAAATGCCTGTTTAAGCAGGCTTAGGCAAGCACAGGGACTGCGGTTCCGTCCCCAGCATCACATGCTGCGCCAGCCCTGCCCCCAGAATGGGCTGAGCTGGCCATTGAGTCTGGGTACAGTAGCACATGCCTGTAATCCTAGCACTGGGGAGGCTGAAAGCAGGAGGATCATCATGATTCTGAGCTGTGTAGTGAGACTCTGCAACAACCACATACATTAAAAAACAAATCCTATTTTATAATTAAAAGTATGCTAGACAATTTGAGCAGTAAACAGTCTCCTTCAAAAGTATATAGACTCTAATAAATTAAACTGTCATCGCTACCAAAAAACTGTACCTAGCTTGAAGAAAAAAGACATTATTAATATTTTAATAATGGCTCTTCTAACACTTGACTTGGAAACACAGACCTCAAATGCCTTTTCCAGAGTGAAGTTAATGGTGCAAACGCAACGTGTCACATTTGGGTTCAAACACTTATTGCAGGGGCTGGAAGGCTCTGTTCCGGTGTAATCGATCTGTAAGAGAAAACACAGCCAAGCTGTTCCTTGGAAAAGTAAAGACCAAAGACAATCTGAAATAACGTGCTATTTTACTAAAAGATAAAATAACCAATGAAGCAACCCATAGCCCAGATTAAAAAAAAAAAAAAAAAAAAAAAAAAAAAAAAAATTCCCCCCTTTTGGTTTTTTGAGACAGGGTCTCAATTAGTTCAGGCTGGCATTGAACTCATTGTGTAGTCCAGGCTGGCCTCAAACTCATAGTGACCCTCCTGCTTCAGCCTCCCAAGTGCCCATGTCCAGCTCAAAAAGTGTTTTTAAGGTTCTCTGTTAATTTTGACAGTGTGACATACTGGCTAATCTTTCCAGTCAAAGTCCTCTCTACTTTATACCAAAGAAACACATAAAATCATACAAATAAAATTCAAACTGCATGATATATTCATATTTAAATAGCTATCAAGTTTAAACTACTCTAATACTGATTAAAGAGATCAATAAATCAGCTTTTCCTCTTGAATCTTAGAGCCTTAAACACTTCCAGTCACCTCAGCTATCTTTTCTTTTTCTTTTTTTCTTTTGTCTTTTTAGGCTGGCCTAGAATGCTCTTCAACCTCTGTCATTTGAGAACAAGAAGGCAGCAATCTGCAAGCCAGAAACAAGGCTCTCTCTAGGAATGCCATGTACTAGCACCCTCATCTTGGACCAGCCTCCAGAAATGTGAGAAATGCTGTTCTTTCACATGCCTGAGACACAATACCTGGCACCTAAAGTTAAAGGCATAAAAGCTTATTTGGTTCACAGTTTGAAGAGGTTTCAGTCCTCTGTGGGCTGACTCCAAGGCAGGGTGGCAAGGCAGAAGGGTATCAAGAGGAGAAAAAATCCACAGCTGGCAGAAGGCAGCAAGGCAACAGGCACCAAGTGAAATGCAGCAACCCTTTCTGTTCCTTCTATCCTATGCAGGTTATCAACCCTTGAGGCAGGGCGCACACCCAAAGTGAGGTACCCTTGATCCTAGCCCTCTACTATAATCAATCTAAGCATCACATCCTTGATCCAGCCACATCCAAAAAGCTCCACCTATGGCCAATGAGGCATAGTAGGGAAAACTTGACAAAAGCCATAACAACCGTGATGCTTCAGTTGTCCAACAGCTCCACACCCAAAACTTTCTACTACTTAAACAACAAAGTTTGAAAATCTGCTTAGTGTTTTTGCTCGCCAGTCGAGCCAAAAACCTAACTCAAAAAACCTGTATTGGGCCAGGGAGATGGCTCAGTAGGAAAAGTGCTTGACTGGCAAATGCAAGGATCTGAGTTCAATCCCCAGTTCCGCCAAAAAAAAAAAAAACTGTATGGCCCAAGAGTGAGTCACACCTCAAGTCTCACTGCAGACACAAAGGGCTGCCACACTTCAGTCTCAGCACTGTTCTCACCCAGACGACATGTAGTGCTTCTGTTCAGGGTGTTAAAAACATGTCACCGTGCTTTCTTTTTGCACTTTAATCATGCAAAATATTGTAATCATGGATCCAAAGAAAATTAGTGATAGCAGCAGTAAAGCTAAGAGGAAAACTGAGAACACAACAGTTAAACAAATCACTATGAAATTTGTTAAAATCCTGGAAAAATGAATTTATAAGTATAATTCTTGGGCCTCAGAACCAATTATTTGGCTTTCTATTATTTCTTTTTGGAAAAATACGTTCAGTTCTCAAATATTTGGTTGTTGAGCATGAATTTGGAACGAATTAAATCCAACAATTGAGGTATCATTGTGAATGTCTGCAGTATTCTGTTACAGCAGCCCCAGACAAGGAAACATGTGTTTTGTCTGTGAGGTTATCTACTCACATCAGGCAACTACTCCTACCAGACTGCGCACTTTCTCATTGTTGGTATGTATTTTTTGACTATTTTGGAGAACTGAACTTTACGATATATCTCATGCACATATTTTTTCTAAGTCTGTGATTTGTTTTACCCTCTTGATAAATATGAATGTTATAATAGCCCTAAGAGTCTATACATTAATAATGTAAAAATTAGTCATCTAATCTTTATTTCTTTTCCTTTTTTTTTTTTTTTTTTTTTTTTTTTGGCGGAACCAGGGATTGAACTCAGGCCCTTGAGCTTGCCAGGCAAGCGCTTATTCTACTGAGCCATCTCCCTGGCCCCCTAACCTTTATTTCTGAAAAAAGTAGTGCATATAAAGTTTATATATGGAAATTCAATCTCTCTTGATAATTGAAAAAGGGAAAAGGGCGAAATTTGTGTAAGCCAGGCACAGTGGTACATGCTCATAAATCTGTGTGTAAGCCAGGCACAGTGGTGCATGCCCATAAATCTGCGTGTAAGCCAGGCACAGTGGTGCATGCCCATAAACCCATCACTTAGGAGATGGAAGCAGGAGGGTAGCCATGAGCTTTGGGCCAGCTTGGGTGACATAGTACATTCAAGGCCAATGTGAACTACACAAATAAATAAAATCTGTATCTAGAAAATAGAACCACCATCTCATTACAACTAATTGCTTTTTTTAAAAGTATAAATATAAAAATGAAAATATTCTGATAGAATGTTCTTTTTTTAAATCGTCTTTTATTTATTTATTTGGTACAGGGTCTAGCTACACAGCTCAGACTCATAATGATCCTCCTGTCTCAGCCTCCCTAGGGAATCTCCATGCTGGCACAGCACGTGGTATCAGGAATCAAACCTGGGTGCTTGTGCTTCTCGGGATCTATCTAGACACACTATGCCACTTAAACACCAAATCTCATGCTGTTGAAGAGATGAAAGATAAGACTATTCTGAACAATAAACTACGTTTTTAAGTCTCTATGCATCTTTCCCTCGTTTATTTAAAAAACTTTAAAACTTTAAGTCAGTAGGGTACATTACCATACTGACTGTTTCTAAACAGAAATCTCTTAAGTGAACAGTCTAAAGAAAAACCATCAACTGTGATTAAGTGTGGAAATACTTAACTGAACAAAAGTAATTCATATAATTAACTTGGAAGTTTAATAATCTATAGTATTTTATAATAAAATGAACATCTCAGTGGAACTGAGAATAACTGTTGAATAATAAATTTCATTTAAAGATCAAAGGCTATAAGGGTTGCGAATATAGATCAGTAGCAGAGTGCTTGGCTAGTAGGCAGAAGGCCCTGAGTTTAATCACCTATACCACAAATAACTGAATAGCTAACATAGCCACCACAATTAATTATAATTTTAAGATGTACTGGCAAATTATATGTCTCCTGACTCCAGGAAAATCTCACAAATGTTTAAAAAAATCACTATCATTAATCTATTAAGCCTTACTACATGCAAGGTATGGCATAAGGTACAAGACAGGTAGAAAGGCATTCATGCTATTTAATAGTTTATTCAGGTTTCTTTCATATTTATACTTCATCTGCTCTTCATCAAACCCTATATAAAATCTCAACTTCATATTTAAAAATACACATTTAAAAACATGCCCAAGGTTATACGAGTACAATACATGGTGCTAGACTAGAACCAAGGTTTCTCACTTTCAGCACAATGCTTCTTCTAGGTAACTAACTACTTTTGCCCAGGAGGAGTCTGCCCTCCAGCAGACAACTTAATCAAAGACAGTAACTAAATACAAAGAAAACCACTATAAAACGCAAAGTCTCAAATTAGTTGGCAGAGAGGAACACTCTGTTGTAGATGGAGAAAAAACAGGGATCAGAACAGATGGAAAAAGAGAGAAAGAGGGATCATTAGAGAAGAAAGAAGGTAGAAAGCACAAAGCACACATAAGGACAATGAGCATAACATTGTGGGTTGAGAGTGAGTTTTATATTGGAAAGATGAGACAAGGCTAAGAAGGCAAGCTGGAGCCATAAAGATACACCATGTTTTCCTGGTGTTAACAAATGTGTACTAGCACTTAAAAAGTGCAACAGCCCTGCTAAGGTTGTTTTTATTTTCTTTATCCTATACTAAGACAGGGCTGGAGTGAAGCTCAATGGAGCAGAATGGGCTTAGCAAGAACAAGGCTCTGGGCTCAATTCCAGCACCACCATCACCACTCCAAAAAAGGCCAGGAAACTTATCAGAGAAGAGCTAGTAATTTCTCAAGCTCATTCAGCTAGGAACCCAAAAGCTAGGGCACTCTCATTTAGGAAGGCTTAGTAACTCTCCCAGAATGAGCCCAACCCTCCCAGTCTCCTCCACATCCCACTCACTCAATCCTCACCATCACCATCCCTCCCACACAACGGTCATGTCTTTTCCAACAAAGAAACTCAGAACCCTCCGATGATAAGAATGAACAGAAACCTCAGTGGAGAACTTTAAATTTTGTTGTTCTTATGAAGCTGCCAGCATCCAAATACGCTTGCAAGTATTATGGAATTCTCTTCTATGAAAGTTTTGGAAGGATACAATGCTGTACTTGTTACTTGAGAAGCTTATGAAAAAAAATGGGTGCTTCCTCTCCTTGAGCCCATGATAGCCAGCTGAAGAGTACAACAAGATCTAGACTTAGCAATCAGACACTCCCACACAAATCATTAGATTGTGCAAGGCAAGGGCAAGAGCACCTGTGATTAGTTCACCAGCCAGGACAACAGTCTGGAAGGGAGACTTCAGCAGCAACTGCAGCAGTAGAACAGACTGTTCAGGCTTTCAAACTTCCCTAATTTCTACCTGTCTCTGAACTGTATATTCTATACTTTTTTGTTTTTTCTTCTGTGGAACTGGAGATTGAACTCAGGCCCTTGTGCTTGCCAAGGAAGCGCTGATTCTACTGAGCCATCTCCCCAGCCCCATATATTCTTTTTGTTCAGTTTCTGTAACCTAATCTCCTAAAAATTCCTTTCCAGTCTAAGCCAATCAGAATTGGTTCCTGTTGCTGATTATAAATTCTCTTAAAGGTAAGCAACCTGAGTATTAAAATGTCACTGAAATAAGGGACTGGGGTCTTGGGGGGGCATATCAAACAGTATTGCATGGGTCTAGGAAATGGGAATTG